ATATCTACCTACCTACCTTTTTTCCGTTGCGCTTTTTTCCGTTGCGCTTTTTTCCGTGTGCGCTTTTTTCTCTTTGCGCTTTTTTCCGTTTGCGCTTTTTTCTTTTTGCGCTTTTTTCCGTTTGCGCTTTTTTTGTTTGCGCTTTTTTCTGTGTGCGCTTTTTTCTCTTTGCGTTTTTTTCTGTTTGCGCTTTTTTCTCTTTGCGCTTTTTTTCCGTGTGCGCTTTTTTCTCTTTGCGCTTTTTTCCGTTTGCGCTTTTTTCTGTTTGCGCTTTTTTCTGTGTGCGCTTTTTTCTCTTTGCGCTTTTTTCTGTTTGCACTTTTTTCTCTTTGCGCTTTTTTCTGTGTGCGCTTTTTTCTCTTTGTGCTTTTTTTTTTCCGTGTGCGCTTTTTTCCGTTGCGCTTTTTGTTTTGTGCTTTTTTTCCGTTGCGCTTTTTTCCGTTGCGATTCTTTCCGGCCACCAACCTTACATACATACCTGTTATAAATGAGTCCTACCCCCTCGTCCCACCGCTAGTGGGTATCTAACCCCCCCCCCTCCTGCCCCACACCTGAACTGTGACAGCGTGTACTGCCCTCCCCACCCCCACCCACCACACCTGTACTGGGACACAATGCATCAGTCCCACCTATGATTTTGCAGGCGCCCGTCCCTCCCCCTCGCTGGAATGCCGGGGTCATGCAGGGGTTAAGGAATCCCAAAAGGGTCAAGCTTGGGCCAGAAAGATAGGACAGTTGAACGTGAGGCTTGCTAGGATGTAGTCGTGATTTTAATGAACTAGTTCTGCTTCCTTAGACGATAGTAAGATTACCATATAGAGTCTAGTTCCATTATCTATGTTATTAAACCTGTTCAACTGAAATTGTGTTGGCGTTTCATTTGAACCTCTCACTGCAGTCATCACCACCATCATATACCAACCATACCGATGACACGTTTTATAATAATACCCAAAGTTGCAGCTTACTAAGTCTGTATGGTAAGTTGGAAGACGTATATATACACGGTTAAAGCCCAAGATTTAAAAAACAGTTTAAAAAAACATAAATAAAAAGTGGTACTAAGACGAGCGAGATTCTAGATAACACCTGTCTTATAATGCTGAAATAGGACGAACGTTCAGATAAAAGGTTCCCAACATTTGGAACAAGACACCCGTAGGATTCGCAACGGGTTTCCCATAGGGTCACACAAAAAATCAATTAACTTAAAACTATATTCAATATGATGCAATTGGTGTTCGATATATTTTTTAAAATTTATTTCACGGGCTGGGGGGGGGGGGGCACTAGGCTTTCGGGAATAAATGGTCGTTACCCTAAAAAGTTGAGAACCTGTGGTCTAGATTGTAGATTGTTTAGCTTGGTTCTGGCAGTCAAAAACTCGAAGGAAAATTACGAAGATCTGGTCAACTTACTAATAGATCGAATAAAATCTGTTGTCACACTCGACGTGTTGGGGAGGCTGAACGATGCTGCCAAGTTAAGTGTGGAGGACAAACATAAAGGTATTAATAACTACAAAAACACTCAGCATAGTAGAGTAACGAAGCCAGAAACCCAAAACACCGCATAGTTGGCTGTAGGCTCAACAATTGATAATTCTCCAAGGCCATACACGACACTGTGATTACCAGGTCCAATATGATGGGGTGGAGGATAGGCCACATAGCAAGTCTATCCCACCTCTAGACGGGATCGTAACAAGCCGGGCAAAGGTCATCGTTCCAAAAGCCATGTCCCATGTACCAGGCTTGACTAACCAGTGTACGATCTTTAAATCGGCGTGTTAGCAGATTGAGCTTGAGCTACACATGTGGACGTCACATCGGACGTGCTGGGAGAGTTGATACAGATAATGGAGCTCGTGTGGGGTTGGCAAAAGGAAAATATCTTATCGGTGCTTCAAATTTAATGGACGAAGGTACGTTACCATTGCTTGTATTACACCGGGTTTAGACCTGTTCTAATAAGAAACAATTTGAATTGACCATTCAATTTGTCAGTCAGCATGAGTGACCAAACCTTGGGAAGATGCCCTGACTCCAAGCTTGGCTCTTAAGTCTTCACCTTCTTTCATTGCTGCCAAGATTCGTTGTCATTCTGCGTCATACCTGTTATCCATAGCTTAAGGTTCATCAATTATTAGTCTAGATCGATGAGTGATGGGACGATTGTGGTGATGGGAAGTTGTTTATTTGAGGATCTGAGGGCATTTGGATTGTATGAGACTGTTAAAATCTGTGTTTTGAGCTGTTTGTGTGTTGATGCGTAGTAAATAATTGTGCGATCTGTTTGTATAATTCATTTTTAGTATGACACTATGTCCTCAATACTGTAGGTAAAATAAGTATAGTTTAAAGTAATAATTCATATTATGGAAACTCTTTAACTCCGACAAATAAACAAGAATTCCCAAGCTACATAGAACATGTACAGCATTTAATTTAAATTGTTTGTATCAATATCTTCATGTACCGCATGTGTTTGTTTAAGACGTAATGTATTAAAGCAAAGCTCCTCTTTAGACCTAGAGATTCATTGGGAAGAGATCCAACCTCGAGACTTTCAGGTTCGTAGCCTAAAGCTATATCATTCGACCACGCCGTCCCTGAAGTTACAATTAAAAGTAAAATAAAGAAGAAAAAAACTTTCCGACATATTTTTTCAGCTTATTTATTGTGAAGCTATTATTAAATAAAGTATGTAATTCATTAATGTATCGCACAAGATAGGGTCTGATAGTTGTTTTTTTAAAGCATGCTTAAAAAAATGAATTAATGAGTGTCTTAAAAATGTCTCAATGTAGGAGTTTATTTAATCCAAGGGAACAAACTCATAAAAAGCTGACATTTTAATTTTATTTTTCGAATTTTTTTTCCTAACCTCCGCTAACGTCATTTGGTTGTAAGTTAATGTTAAATAAGACTTAGGTTAAGATTAAAGTTGGTGTTTTGGCTAAAGTTCAGTGACGGCGGCTACACCAGCAAACAAAAAGTACAATTACATTGATAATGCAGTAGTATCTAGGCTTTGTTTTATTCCCCAATACATATTAACTCAACGTACACATTTTGATTAATTTTATAGACAGCTTTTCTTTTTCAAGCCAACATATTTTGACTGTAGTTGGATGCAACTTGGTATTATTTTATTTTATTTAATAATAAAGCTATAGTGTATTTAAATAATATACTGTCACTTTAAAAAATCGGTTATACTAACTGTTTTTCAATCGAAATTTTAAAGCATTACTTCTTGGACATTACGTTTGTGTGAAGAATCACTTTTGTTCATTCAATATATGAACTTTTTTCAATACCATCTCTTGGTACTCAAGAATATTCATCTCTCAGTTTGCATCAAGCAAAATCATTCAAGCCTAATAAAATGAATATTGTTTATTTAATAAAGCATTTGCATTAAAATATCTTGTTACACAAATTCAAAAATAAAATTATTTTTTTACAAATGGCGTAGCGAGTAATACGCAAAATGAAAATTTTCTTGGTTTTTTTTTATTAACTCATGAACATTAAGCTATAATATCCAACGTTGCACAATTATTTTCATATAATTAAGGTCGTTGGAGCATTTAAAAATATTTTTATATACAAAGTTCCTGTTACTAACATGACCAAATTTTGCAAATTCGAGTTTGCCTCATAAACAAAAAGGTGATCTTTTTGAATCCACCGCTGGTCAACAAATGGGAGAAAAGGGAGTGTAGAGGCATACTGAGCGAAATTACTTGATCTGTGAAGCACTCTATCTAAAATCTTGGATCATTAAGGCTGAGAAATTAGGTTCTCTAAATAAAAAATATAACCATTAAGTGCAAAACGACAATCATGTAACTTTACAGAAAATAATGTAACACAATATAAATCTTAAGAGCATAAATTGTCAAATAAACAACACACACATATTAAAAAAATATTAGAGGAAAAATGTTTGAATGAAGAAAAAATCGACAGATCATCAAAACAGAAAAAAAGCAGAAAGTAAACGAAAATAAATTCCCAATAGTATATAAAAAGTGAGGAAATGACATGGGTTATGATTTTATAATTGGAAGCTGATTTAAAAATCAAAAAGCAATGTTCTTAACCATTTTGGTCTACTGATTTGCTGAATCTAAACGTACAACTGGTAACATTATATTAGGCAGACATGATTAGACTTAAGCGTTGAGGGGCGGGGGCGGGGGGGGGGGGGTGTGGACCGCACCGGGTGACACCATTATGGCGAAAAATTGCAAAATATATATGATTTTGCCAGTTCAATTAATTAACACCATTTGGCAAAATGGGAAGGCAAAGTCACCAAATGTAACTATATATATATATATATATATATATATATATATATATATATATATATATATATATATATATATATATATATATATATATATATATATATATATATATATATATATATATATATATATATATATATATATATATATATATATATATATATATATATAACAGGTTTTTTCTGGAGGGGAGGATGACACCATGAGGTCCCGCACCGGGAGAGACCCGACCTCGCAACATGAGCAGGTTTTAAATGTCAAACTACTTATCATTTCTAATGGCATGTAGTAGAAGTGTCCAGAAATTTTGGTTATTTCTGTAGATCAGACACCTGTACAGCTGATTCCTTAAATAAGTTTCTACTTCAGGTGGGTATGTATTCAAGTCGACCCTCTCAACAAAGACAGGAACGATAACCTGACATTGTACATTGAACTCTCGCATGATGGCCAGGTTCATCTCATACTCAGAGGCGTAGCGACCCTTCCCGGCGCCCGGGGACAAACTTTTCGATTTGCACCCCCCCCCCTCAAACTTTCGATTTGCACCCCTCCCCCTCAAACTTTCAATTTGCACCCCCCTCAACCTTTCAATTTATTTTTCCAACCCATTTTGGCGCCCCCTAAGCTCGGCGCCCGGGGACATGTGTCCCCCCGCCCCCCCCCCCCCCTCGCTACGCTACTGCTCATACTCTCGGTAGTGATCCAAGAAAAGATCTTCAGACAACAAGACCAGCGTTTTTCTTGTGCCAGTTATAGCTCCACTGATGAATGACACCATGTCCCCATCTGGAAAGTCCACTTCTCCTAAAATGTAAGAGATGTTCTTCTCTCGCAAGAGTGGTAGGATAATATTTCTTACAATCTGTCGGATTCCTGGTCTATATCATATATCATATATCATATATCATATATCATATATCATATATCAATCATATATCATATATCATATATCATATATCATATATCATATATCATATATCATATATCATATATCATATATCATATATCATATATCATATATCATATATCATATATCATATATCATATATCATATATCATATATCATATATCATATATCATATATCATATATCATATATCATATATCATATATCATATATCATATATCATATATCATATATCATATATCATATATCATATATCATATATCATATATCATATATCATATATCATATATCATATATCATATATCATATAAAATATATCATATAAAATATATCATATATCATATATCATATATCATATATCATATATCATATATCATATATAATATATCATATATCATATATCATATATCATATATCATACATCATATATCATATATCATATATCATATATCATATATCATATATCATATATCATATATCATATATCATATATCATATAAAATATATCATATAAAATATATCATATAAAATATATCATATATCATATATCATATATCATATATCATATATCATATATCATATATCATATATCATATATCATATATCATATATCATATATCATATATCATATATCATATATCATATATCATATATCATATATCATATATCATATATCATATATCATATATCATATATCATATATCATATATCATATATCATATATCATATATCATATATCATATATCATATATCATATATCATATATCATATATCATATATCATATATCATATATCATATATCATATATCATATATCATCTATCATATATCATATATCATATATCATATATCATATATCATATATCATATATCATATATCATATATCATATATCACATATCACATATCATATATCATATATCATATATCATATATCATATATCATATATCATATATCATATATCATATATCATATATCATATATCATATATCATATATCATATATCATATATCATATATCATATATCATATATCATATATCATATATCATATATCATATATCATATATCATATATCATATATCATATATCGTATATCATATATCATATATCATATATCATATATCGTATATCGTATATCGTATATCATATATCATATATCATATATCGTATATCATATATCGTATATCATATATCGTATATCATATAACATATATCGTATATCATATATCGTATATCATATATCATATATCGTATATCATATATCGTATATCATATATCATATATCATATATCATATATCGTGTATCGTATATCGTATATCATATATCATATATCGTATATCGTGTATCGTATATCGTATATCATATATCGTATATCGTGTATCGTATATCGTATATCATATATCATATATCATATATCGTATATCGTATATCGTATATCGTGTATCGTGTATCGTGTATCGTATATCGTGTATCGTATATCGTATATCGTATATCGTATATCGTATATCGTATATCGTATATCGTATATCGTATATCGTATATCGTGTATCGTGTATCGTATATCGTATATCGTAAATCGTAAATCGTTTATCGTATATCGTATATCGTGTATCGTGTATCATATATCATACATCGTATATCGTATATCGTATATTGTATATCGTATATCGTATATCGTATATCATATTTCATATATCATATATCACATTTATTTATAAAAAATGCATTTCTTTTTTTGGTCAAATTTCGTGGTAGTTTCGTTACTGAAGCCAACAGCAACGAACAGTGAGGAGAATATATCCACGTCACTTTCTGTGTAGTCGTTCGTCGGGACCTCAATTACACAATAAATGATGTTGCATTCCTGCAAGCCTATACAGGTGACTCGAGGTACGAGTTTAAAGTAGTTCCATAACCTTGTTCGTATGTGAAATAACTATGTAATGTATAGAGATAGGCGGAAAAGCTTCAGTTCGTCTACTTATTCGCTTGACTGCTAATGTTAATGCCATTTTGGTCACCTTAATTCACTTATTCGCTACACTCTTAATCGGGATCGCCTCCAACACAATCAAGTATTAAGTGTCAAGCTGTTATGCGCCACATGACGCCTTTACTCGACTTACCTTACTTTTCTTTGTGGCTAAACTTCTATAGCCTTTGTCCATCCAATAATAAAACTGCAAGGCAACGGTTGTTTGATTTTAGATTTTTCACCAGCCATCAATACTCATCTGTCCGGGTGTTTGAACTCGGGAGTTTGCAAGCCCTACCACGCCAACACCATTGGGATACCTAATTGTTACTTTTTTTACATTACAAAAAAATAAGTATTTTATTGTTTTAAAAAGCTGTAGGATGCAATAAAATTCAGAGTAGAGCAGAAAATTTAGTGCGTGCCTTCATACGCGATGTTATAATTAGCTCCACCGCTAAACTATCAATTGTAAGAGTTGCTTTTCGCCAATCATTACTAAACATGGACACCGTGTAAGAGAGATAACACTAAAAAATAATTTAAGACAACACTTGTAGATTATTGAAATCTTAAGATTTCTCATTCGCTGTAGACTGTAGACAATTATCAGTTCCGTTCAGACTGGCGTCTCTCTTCCTCGTTATGTTTCATTAAGGAAGTATAAAAACAACATCAGTTTTGATCCTTTAAATATCACACGTTCATTGGTGATGACAATTTAACGGGCACATTCCCTTTGACAATGATGTAGAATTTGTGAATGTTTTTTATGAAAACGTGCTTAGTGGGTTTGGAGTGATATATTTAACGCAGCTATTTTTTAATGTATTTTTACTTATAACTTAAGCTTGATGAAAGTAAATAGAAATGAAGCCTTCAACTCTAAAAAATTATTTTCTAGTTTTCTGCATTTGCAACTTTTATGACATTGATACTAAAAATATTAATTATCTGAATTATTATTAGGCTTACGTTTATATTTTTTTATTATTTTTATGGCCGCTATAAAGTCAAAATATATTTTTGAAAACAAATTTTATCCATGTCAACAATAGGATATAAGTTGTTTGAGCCTTTGTTCTATTTAATTATGTAATGCTGTCATAATTTATTTTAATGATGGGCTATTCATTAAGAATTAGATCGGAGAATACAGTTATTACATACTAAATTAATGTTATATATTTTTTTATCGTAATTTCGAGTTCTTAGTTGTTTGACATTGTTTGTTTAAAAAAAAACTTTGTGTTCGTTGTCTTAAATTGATTTACAACAACAAATACAATATTATGATACACAAACATATGCAACTGTCAGTTCCTTTAAAGCAAAACCTGCATGCCTGACATAATGTAGTAACATACTAATAGTTTATTTAATATATGCATAACATTACATGTTCTTGTTCAACAGTTATAATTTTGTTTTTACAAATAACGCATTGAGTATTACGCAAAAAAAATGTTTTTTGGTTTCTATTCTAGAAAAACAATATTTTATAACCACCTCTACACCATTCTTCTCATATAAGTATATTCGTTGGTGCTGTTTAAAATTATCTTACAACTTCCAGTTACAAACATCGCCAAATCTTGTATTTTCGAGTTTGCCTCATTACAAAACCTGCTCCTGATGAAAATAACGCTGGCAGAGAGGATATAAAAAAATATTTACTACTTGTCAAATTAAAAACATTACAATGCAAAAAATCCTTACCGAGCATGAAGATCACATGATAGATTTGACAAATGACAAACAACTTAAGTGCCCACTCTAAGATGGCTGTAACAAGAATCGTGACACGCCTGCTGAACGTATCTCTTTTTATATCTTCTATGCTGACTTCATTTTTTTTCTTATCTGTCTAATAATGCATCTGTTAAATAGTTACAATTTAGTAGTTATACATTTTGACGACTTCCACAAGGAGGGAGGAAGGGGGTAAAAAATTGACTTTTATAGTCGCTGGGGGGTCGGGTCCAAGTTAACGTCCACATGTTGGTTTTAACATTTACGTCACACCGGTTCATTCATTAAAGAGAGGGAAACGTGAGAATGGGGGCAATTTAGCGAAGTTTCGTGAAGGTTACGCAGTCATTAAATAGCAAGAAAAAAGGTTCATAATTGCATATATATTACAAGTAAAAAAAAAGTATCATGTTTAACTCTTTATAGAAGATTAAGTAACACAGTAAGATTGTAAATGGAATAAAAGCATCAATTTAAAACAACAAAAACAGACGAACAAAAGCAATAAAAGAATATCAACTTTGAATAAATTTTCAGAAACGAAATAATTTCGATCCATGACAAAGCAGATAGATAGATAGACAGACAGACAAAGAGAGTAAACAAGTTAAATAAAAGCTTGCAATAAAAACAATTGCTTTTTTGGTTCGTTTGCAAATAAGGCATACTTAGAATGCCAAAATGTAAAAAGGAATGTATTCAAAATCAGTAATATGATTATAGTAAACAAAAACAATGTGATAAAACTATTATATACTCTTGACCGGCATGACAGATATAAATTTAGACTTTTTATGATTTTCGCTTTTTAAAACTCGATCGCTATCTCATAATTTCATTGACATAGATTAATTTACTAAAATTTGAATTTACTTAAGTCCAACATATATGTCTTTGTGTATGTATGTGTGAGCCCTCATAAAAATGGTATTATGAACAAAGCGCATGCAGAGAGGATGTAAAAAATAAACCAGCTTTTGTCAGATTATAAAAATCAAGTATATCTACTTTACTGAGAAAAAGAGAGATATTTAACACATGGTAAACATCTTAAGTGTCCGATTGTAGATGGTTGTATAAAAAATTGTGTCGTCCTTGTTGAATGTGTTTCTATTTATTATATCTTTAATGTTCAGACGGCTTAATTAGTTACTAATTGAAATCATGAGCTCTGTTTTTAAGTAATAATGTTGTTGATTTAGGAACTTTAAATTTGATTTATCTCTCTCGCTCAGACACCGCTGTGTAGCAAAACAGTTGTTTACTTTAGCTTTTACCCAAAAATATCTGAAAAGTTTCCATATTCCTTTATTTTGATACTTTTTTAACTTCATTTTTACTTTCTCGTATATACGAAGTATAGAGAGTCTTGTAATCGTACACCTCACATATACGGAAAAACATAATTTTGCAATCTTGTCCGTATGTCCGTGTGTCTGTGTGTGTCTGTGTGTGTGTATGTGTGTGTGTGTAAACACCATAACTTGAGTACCGTTACAGCTAGGTTGATGAAATTTCACACATAAGTATTTTATCAAATTCGTAGAGCCTGATCAACTTTTGAGCGATTTCTGATAACCGGAAGTGGTACTTTTTCTACTTTGAATTTTTTAAAAGCCTATCATTTGAGTACTATTTCAGATAGATAAATGAAATTTCAAATGTAAGTATAAGATCTAATTCTCTACCTTCTATATAATTTTGAGTAATTTCCGTTGACCGGAAGTACTAATTCACGCTATTTCCGATTTCTCAAAAAAGCATGTAAATTTATAAAATATTGCTTAATCAACAGGGTGTCAAAAGGTAAAGTTTGAAAGTTGCTCCAACAGACGGGAATTATTGACTATGGTCATGGCCTATTCACTATTTATGAATAGATGTAACTTCTAATAACCTTTAAATTCAATATATTGGAGTAATACAAATGTAGGGGCAAATCATCAAAACAAGCTGGCGAATCAATCATCGTGAAAACGAACAATTAAATAGAAAGAAACTACGGTAACATAATACCATAGTTAAGCACCATTTTTACTTTCTCGCACACAAGGTATAGAAAAAATATTGTAACCTTGCAAATAAAAAATCCAGATTTTTGCAAATCTCGACCTTTTACACCTCCCTGAGTCGGAAAAACAAAATTTTGCAATCTTGTCCGTATTTATGTGTGTGTGTGTGTGTGTGTGTGTGTCTGTGCGTGTCTGTAAACACGATAACTTGAGTACCGTTAAAGCTAGGTTGATGTAATTTCATATAAAAGTATTTATTATATCAAATTTGTAGATCAGTATCAACTTTTCAGCAAATTCTAATAACCAGAATTGGAACTTTTTCTAATTTCAATTTTTTTAAAGTTATAACTTGAGTACTATTTCAGATAGATAAATGACAATTCACATGTAAGCAAAAGATCTAATTCTCTGCCGTCTGTCAAATTTTGAGTAATTTCCGACCGTTGACCGGACGTAGTAATTTACGGTTTATTATAATTAGATACAAAATTATGTAACACAATATGAATTTTAAATGCAACCAAAGCGAGAACTGCAAAAAAACATAACACCAAAATGTTTTTTAACTAGAAAAATTTTGAGAAAATAAAATAATATTGGTCTTAAATTATATAAACGGAAATACAAAACTGTTATACTATAAATAGTGAAAAAACACAAACGGTTAGCGTTTTAATCTTATCAGTAAAAGTGGACTTAAATATAAAAAAAACTGTTCTTTGCTTCTCTATTAGTTTACTGTCGTGATAAATCTAAAAAATTAATTAAAGACATTAGTAAAGGTATCCAATAGATACTGAAGTGACCCACGCTTTTCTGTATAGTTATTTAAAAAGTAGTCTATAATTTATTTTCTACTTTTTAGTGCATTAGCACATAAAAGCTTGTTATTAAAAGGTTTTTTATTTTTAAAAAAATCAGTTCTTTACATGTTTTATTTACAATAGAGTTACATGACTAAAAACCATTGCGTGCCTATTGAACGTGATGGCGCAGCTATTGAACGTGAAGACGCGTGTGGTGTGGTTTGATAGACATGCCTACTAATTCGGTCCAAATTTTAATAAATTAATTCAAAAAATAATTAGGCATCCAATGCAGTCAAATTTAATTTCAGATTGCATTGTCTTCATGTCTTGACCCACGTGCCACTGTTAACTGTATCGGTCAAGTAGAAGTATCCGAATTTCGCTCTTGCGTTTCGAACTAGACTGACGACAGAATGACGACTGACGAAGTGAGTTAAATAAAAGCTTGAAATAATAAACCGGTAGTGATCTCCCCTAAACTTTCTCGAATATTCTTATATAAAACAACAGGGGATGGTAACTGGGGATATAGTTATGATTTTTAATCCATTTTAAATACTGAAACTTTTAAAAATAGAATAGAATCTCAGTAAAAAACAATTGCGCACCAAGCGAACGCCTAATAAAGGTGTGTATAATAGTGCGCAATAGTATTAGTACTTATAAATTTACATTAGTTTTTTGAGAAATCGGAAGTAGCGTAAATTACTACTTCCGGTCAACGGACATTACTCAAAATTATATAGAAGGTAGAGAATTAGATCTTTTACTTACATGTGAAATTTCATTTATCTATCTGAAATAGTACTCAAGTTATAGGCTTTTGAAAAATTCAAAGTAGAAAAAGTACCACTTCCGGTTGTCGGAAATCGCTCAAAAGTTTATACGGATCTACGATTTTGATATAATACTTATATATGAAATTTCATCAACCTGTAACGGTACTCAAGTTATCGTGTTTACACACGGACAGACACACAGACACACACACACACACAGACATACGGACAAGATTGCAAAATTATGTTTTTCCGTATCAGTGAGGTGTAAAACGTCGAGATTTGTATAAATCTCGATTTTTTTTTTTGCACGATTACAATACTTTCTCTATACTACGTATATACGAGAAAGTAAAAAGGCGTTCGAATGGTAACACTATATATATATATATATATATATATATATATATATATATATATATATATATATATATATATATATATATATATATATATATATGTTGCTGAAAAATGTTCATTAAAATATATGTTGCAAAAGTCAATATTAGCTTTACATATGAAACTATCTGAATAACTTCTAAATAACAATCTATGTGTCATTCCTAATAGCATGTAGTAGAAGTGTCCAGAAAGTTTGGTTGTTTCTGTAGACTAGACACCTGTACAGCTGATTCCTTAAAAAAGTTTCTACTTCAGGTGGGTATGTATTTAAGTCGACCCTCTCAACAAAGACAGGAACGATAACCTGAACTCGTAAGTTTAACTCTCGCATGATGGCCAGGTTCATCTCATACTCTCGGTAGTGATCCAAGAAAAGATCTTCAGACAACAAGACCAGCGTTTTTCTTGTGCCAGTTATAGCTCCACTGATGTGTGACACCATGTCCCCACCTGGAAAGTCCACTTCTCCTAAAATGTAAGAAACATTCTTTTCTCTCAGGAATGGTAGTATAATATTTTTAAGAATCTGTCGTATTCTTTGTTCACCCTGTTGAAAATTTAAAAAAAAATACAGTATATACAATGTAGATCAAATAATTTACATTTAAACTATTCCAACAACAACAAAAATATTATTATAATTTTATAGAATAATAAACCGGGTGTGATCTCTCCTTAACTTTTCCGAATATTCATAAAAATATACTAGACTACCCGTCACCCGTTGGATAACTGTGGGTCTCGGGGGTCATCCATCAAAAAACATCACGTCTGTCACTCAGTGGCGTAGCGACCCTTTTCTGCGCCCGGGGACAAACTCCTCGATTTGAACCCCCCCCCCCCCCCGCCCCCCTCCCGGCAAGATTTTGATATGCACCCCCCTCAAACTTTCGATATGCACCACCCCCCCCATCTCAAGATTTCGATTTGCACCCCCCCCCCCCCCACCTCAAACTTTCGATTTGCACCCCCCTCAACCTTTCAATTTATTTTTCCAACCCATTTTGGCGCCCCCTAAGGTCGGCGCCCGGGGAAACGTCCCGTCCGTCCCCCCGCTCCACCCTCCTCGCTACGCTACTGCATTGTCACTTATCGTCACAAAAAAACAGACCCCACATTCCAACATATGTTTTTTATCTTTTAAAAACACCGAAAACAACGATTTCGGACTATCCCTTCATATACTGACGTCACAGGTGACCTACTCAACTCTACTTCACCTGCCCAGTGACCCGCCAAGTCTCAGACAACATGTTTTTATCGTTTAAAAAACCTATTCCAGCCGAGCATGTCTCTGACCACACTATCCCTTCATATGCTTAGGACAAACAAACAGGTGAACTGTTCTTCACCTGCCCTGTGCCCCGCGAGGTCCTGATAGTCAACCTTATCATTCACATGTAGGCCTTAGGAAAAATAATTGAAAACATTGTTGTAAAACGAAAATATATCTTTAACTATTACTACAGTCATTGTTCTAAGCTTTTATATACAATGTGGTTAATCTACCAATGACTATATCAATAAATTAATTAACGGCTTTAAATTATTTAGTAATTAACAGTGTCTTTAAGAAGGAGCAATATTTACCACTCAAAATACCATTTCACAGCTCTACACATAATGAAGATTCTCCCCAATAACAAATCAGAAAAACAAACAAACAAAAAAAATGAGTTATCAAACATCACTATTCAGTCAAAGTTAAGCCATTGTTCTAAAACTATAAAACACATGTGATTAATCTACCTATGAATAAATCAATAAATTAATTAATGTCTTTAAAAAAATGTGTGATTAACAGTCTGTCTGCAATCAAAAATTATTCTCTACCTACATACTATTTTACAGACCCCCATATACAGTAGTTTCCTTACAGTAAGAAATCAGACAAACAAATAAATATTCAAACATATAAACAAAGTTGAGCTTTAGTGGTATTAGATAACACAAGAGATGGAAACTAGGGATACAGATATGATTTTTAATCCTTTTTTAATTACTTAAAATTTTAAATTAGAATAAAATCCTGAAGAAAAAAGAATTGCACACCAAGTGAACGCCAAACAAAATTTGCATAATAGTGCGGAATATTATTAGTGCTTTTTAAATTCACATGCGGTTTTTGAGAAATCGAAAATAGGGTAAATTACTACTTCCGGTCTACGTAAATTACTCCAAATTTGATAGAAGGAAGAAAATTTGATATTTTACTTACATGTGAAATTTTGTTTATCTGAAACAGTTCTCAAGTTGAAGGCTTTTAAATAATTGAAAGTAGAAAAAGTTCCACTTTAGGCTATCGGAAATCGCTCAAAATTGATACAAATACACAGACATACACACACACATACACACACAGAGACATACGGACAAGATTGCAAAAATATGTTGTTGTTTTTTCTCAATGAGCTGCAAAAATCTCGATTATTATTTTGTTTGCATGATTACAAGACTTTCTCTATTTCGTATATACGAGACTGTAAAAATGCATTAAAAATTATATCTGTATACCGAGTTGTCATCCCCCGTACTGTTATATAAGAATATTCGAGAAAGTTTAGGGGAGATCACTCCCGGTTTATTATTTTTTTAAAAACATATTTACATTTATGAAAATGCTTCATACCTCATCATATGTAATGAAAACATCAACCTGTGGGTTGTAGTTGACCAAACGTCCACCAATGTGCAGCCGCCGTTGACCAATGAAGTAGAGGTACCTCAGCTTCCAGCGGTAATGGAAAAACACGGCCAGAACAAGCAAACACAGGAGATGGATGAAAAATGTCGTCAACACAAAGCTGAAGTTTTCTTTGATCACACAGTTATATTTAAATCTTGACAGTTTCTTGGTCATTTGAGTGTAATTAAATTCAATATTTGTTTCTGTTTCAAACAAAATTTCGTCCGTCTCAACAAATAAATGAGGACTTTCAGCTAGCAATTGTAAAGTGTGAAGGTTTGAGCATACAAATGAAAATACATTTCCCCTTAAGTCAACGGAAAACTCCGAGTTCGCTGACTTTAACCTGAGCAACTCACTGCACATTTCATCTGTTAAAGACCTCAATCGATTATGAGACAAATCAAGATAGGTTAAATTGAGATGCATTAAAACGTCTGGATTAAACGATCGAATAAGATTGTAGCTCATATTAATTTTTTTTAGTTTTTTTAGTTTCAAAGGAAACTGAAACAAGCTAGGGTCAATACTATCTATGCGCAAACCTGACACTTGCAGTTCTTCTAAATGCCTCAGTGTAACTATCAGGTCTTGAAGATGGTGTGTGGCTTGAAACTCGTTATTGTATGAAATATTTAAAATCCGAAGCTTCCTAGCAGTGTGTAATATGTTAATGTCAAAGTCAAAATCATTGAAAGACAAATCCAAAATCTCTAATTCAGAAACTCCATCATTTTCAAAATTGGGATATATCAATCCAGCACTTTTCGTAGTTTCTTTTAACCTTTTTGAATATATATATATATATATATATATATATATATATATATATATATATATATGTTCGCAACATATTTTCCAAGGCAATGAGACCAGTATCTTTAGCGATATATGGATAACTTAATGATACGGCCTTTTGCCTTTTGGTTCAAAATAATGTTAGATTTACTAAATGTATAAACTAAATTTTATTAAAAGAAAGAATGTGTAAACACAGTTTTAATTATGCAACCGGAAAAGTGTTAATGGTTGTGACATGAACGCTGTAGAGAACATATTAGTAGCATAAAAACAATGAATGGCAATTAGAATTACGTCACTTGAAAGGAATAGGGACATTTTTATTTGAAAAAATGTTTTCTTAATAAAACTTCTAATACTACGGAAAATACACAACACTAATGGCGTCATTAATTGAAGTATAAAATATAATTAAAAATCTAATATAAAGAATAAACATAAAACTAATGACTTTATCTTCAATATTTTCAATATTCAGATTCGCTTCCCAAATATTCCAATTTTAGGATAGGAAGAAACAATTTTTTGAATATGAAGAAATGAAATATTTCATTTAAATTTATTTTGATGTACATATCGACTTATCAAGACGTAAGCTATGGAAGATATACAATTCTCTTTTTTTCCGAAAATAGTAATAGTTTAATAAACCTCAAAATACTACTGAATAGCCGGTTTTTAACGGAACCGCATAAGTCGCATAATCAGTGTGTTTATTTAATATGTTTAGTTGACTAATAATGTGTATTTTTGGATTTTAATTTTTCTAATAGGTATTGGTAGCCAATTTTATATTAAATGTACCGGGGTTTTAGCTCTTGAGTTATTTCTTTGCTTTATCGTTAATATCGTTTAACAAGTAGTAAAGCGCATTGCGTTTTGACTAATAACTATTTTATAAAATATTTTTCACACACAAGTATAACATTTAAGAAATATAAACCTATAATTTACCGATAGCTAGTATGATAGACATAATAATGTTAACTCATTCTTTGAATGAATATGGTACAATGAGCATCTTTTTAAAACTAAATTACATTATGCATTGGAATAACTTTTATTATTTTCTTTATTATTAATCTTTTATTATTTTCTCGTGGTATAACGTGAAATAGATATTAACTGTTTAAAGCATTCCCCTTAGAGTCGTGCTAAAATAGACCTCTGTGATATTTAGTATCATGTTACACGAATATTTAGTCCCAAACCAACAGTAGATTACATTGACCAAAAAAAAGTTGATCAAAGACAGTTAGAAGATATTTCCTATTGACTGTGCACCTGAGTAGAAAAGTCGTTTTATTTTATAATATTTTTAATATAAAATGAAAGACATATCTTTGTACAACAGATAGTCGGGTCGTGTAGTATTTTTAATGTCGGGGGTTTATGTCCAAGGAGTTGTTGGCCGGGAGTCACTCAAGCTAGTGTAGTTTGTCCTGTCTCCAACCTGTAAAATGTTTGCGAATTACCCGCCTTCAGTATTGATTGGAGAAGTACCTAGATACGGTTGTCACGTGACTTGTACAGCCAACAGCAGTTGTCACACCTATGTCAGTGTCATAGGTACAGCATTTACAGCCCCCTCACTGTTTCTACGGAATTTTTGTATGACTGCTCAGCTCGTGTTCAATGGAAACATTTTGTCCATTGTCTACTTGTGGGTCATTTTCTCTGTGTTCGGTAAAGGCAAGTGTATTTGTATTTTAGGTTTAAATGTGTCTCTGGTTAATTTATTCAATTTGAACTGCATTGAGGTTGTGAACTGTTTACATTTTCTAAACGCTGATTAAAAAGTATGAAATCACAAACTAACTAATTGTGATGACGCTGGTTCAATATAATATGGTAGAAACAGACTACAGCTAGTTGGTTAGAGAGACCAATGAAATTACAGCTGACCGGTCACATGGGACGGTCAGCTGACCACAGAAGCGTGGGGCTGTAGTTCGATCGGGTAGTTGGTGTTAGGTATCGGTTAGGGTCGTTAGGAAAAATGTAGGTTGTGTAGGCAGTTGGTGATAGGCAATAGTAGGGAACGGCCACAGACATGTAGAAAGTGATAGGAAGATAGCAATAGGGATGGTCAAGGGAGGGAACAGTTAGATAGAAGTAGTAGTAGTACAGTATAGGTTAGTTAGGTAGGAAGTTGATTGTGTAAGTTTTAATAATGAACATTATCTCTTGGATCGGACTTGTGTATGTGTGTTGGATTTTCTCTTCATCTTCATTAACCCCCACCCTCACATTTGGTGGTGCTGCTTTTCCCCACCCTCACAACTGACTGGAGATTTTCATTCACCCCCACCCTCACAACTGGTTGAATATCACAAAACCCCCACCCTCACACTCATGTTTTTACAACCTGCTTTTTAGCTAAAATTCGTATCCAATAATTTGTGTGTGATCTAGTAAGCCTGTAGAAAGATACCGTTTCACAATTTTTGTATTTATGTGTAATAAATCCAAAATAAATGGCTTTAATATCTTCAGAAAAATGAAATTCTTCAGTTGTAAAAAAAATTAGCTTCTGTTAACTCGGAAAATTGCCGAATAAGTTATACGTCGTTCTATTTTTTTCTAGATGTTATACGGAGTGCTGTTTTTGCTCGACAACACTTACATTCTTTTCTAATAGATCGATTTTGCATATTTTGACTAGACATCGGTACCCGTTATAGGGCAATGCTGACGATCTTTATCTATCTTCTCTTTATATACTTCAATACGAAGTAAGTAATGCAAAATGCAAAAAAATTGCAAAATGCAGCTTTAAAAAGAGTTAAAGCTAAAACTGGAATTATAGGAAATGATGAATAGTTTCATGAGCCTACTAATTTGGACACAATTTTAATTAATTTATAAAAAAAACATTAGTCAACCAGTTAAATCAGGTTTAACGACATGTTGCATTGTCTTTATGTCTTGATCCATTTACCAACAACGAACTGTATCTGTCAGTTAGAAGTGCCTGCAATTTCGCTTGGGCGTTTCGATCTAGACAGACTAACGACAGACTGTCGAAGAACTGAGTTAAATAAAAGCTTGTAAAAATGGATCTTACCTTTTTAAAGTTTTTTTTCCTTTCTCGGTACATAATATACTGTTCTGGTAACTTAAATCTAGGTATTTTAATGCATTTTTTTCTGTGTGCCGTAGTTGCAAAAATAACGCGCCAATATCAATACAGTTTCCGCTTAAATTAAGATCTGTCAAATTTAATGGAAAATTTAACAACTCCCTTTTGTTGCTTTTAACTCTGTTATACGACACATCTAAGAATTGGATTGTCGTTTTAACAAGCGCGTCAAGGACATCAAACAACTCATAATCTGGAACAATTGGATCAATTTTCATGACTCTAAGAATAAGATTTGAGATGCTGAATTTACGAAACACTTTTGCTACGTTCAGAACTTGCCTGAGAGAAAGTTTCGTTTCACTTAGATCGAGATGTGACAAGTTGGATTCCATTATAAGAGAGTTGTTTGATATATAAGTAATCGGACAGTATCGTAGATTGATTTTTAAATTAAAGTGCGTTTTTATATTTTCAAAATAGAAATCACTCAGATTGGTTATAAGACAGAAGAAATGATTCAGTTCTAAACTGCGAAGTTTTTTTAACTTTTGAAATCCTGTGCCAGGTTTGCAGTTAGTCCCAGCCAAATGTATATTTTGTAAATTTGTTAAAGCTCCAAATGCTTTGTCTGGATAACACGTTGATGGCCAAATATAATCGCATTCAGGACTTGCTGAAAAGGTATTTAAATAAAAAGTTATAGTATTATATACATTGTCATAGCCTACATATAAATAGATATTTGCATCTATATAAGTATAGCTTGCGTAACATATACATACATATGACAAACGTGTTCATGTATGGGTATTACCTCCAGTTAAAATGTGTTTAAAGTTGGGATTAAGCAAAAAAACTGACAAATGTACTTTACCTTTGTTTTTACTAAGTTTTAAACTTTTTGTATTAGCATCTATGTACTGATCTTGTGTTTTTTCATATGGATCAAAAGAAAATCTTAAATATGTTAACATTTCAAGGCCTCTGAAAGCATCATCGGAAACGTTTGGAAAGCAGTAATCACTAATATGTAAATTCTGCAAGTTGAGTAAACCATTGAAAATATACCCTGGAAGAATTGATAGCTCATTGTATTCAAGCCTAAGTTCTTGTAGGTTATGAAGATTCTTAAAGAATGTTAGTGGAAGTTCTAGGGTTTTACTATTTCTTATTGCAAAGTAACGTAATGAATCACTTTGAGCTTGAAAATATGTTTCGCATATGTTAATTCCATTAAAACAATCGAGAACGAGCTTCTCTAGATTCCCAAGGCTAGAGAAGACGTCACAAGATAAAGATAGCGAACTGCAACCATCTAGTTGTAATGTTTTGACTTTTGTATTGAGTTGCGGTAACGTACTAAGACACGGGCAAACAATATCTTCATCATTATTTAAACACGAGCAATTATCTGGGCAAGTGATATCCTTATTTTCATACTTGGTATTTTGCCATGACCTCATTGTTTTAGAACCTTGAAATATAATTTTATTGTTTTTATCTAATATAAGTTTTTTATTACATCCATAAATGGCAGAGGCAGCTAATAATTCAGTTAACATGTGCAACAAATATAAATAACTTAATTTCATTTTCACTTCAAATAACATAAATATAAACTAGTTTATATTTATTTAACAGTAAATATTATATAGCATCCTATGATTGAGAAATAATGTTCCCAGCAATGCACACGATGTACAATAAATAACAATGCAGAAAAATATACAACTGAAGCTTTAAAAACGTGTTTAAAGTATTTAAATGTAATTGATCTATTTCCTATCAAACATTTTTAAAGGCTAAAACCCCTTCCCGCTCAGCCGTCATTGTTTAGACAAGATAAACGAAGACCGGAGACAGGAGAGGCTATTTATAAAACAAACAGTCGATCTTTATAAGTGCACACTTGTAATTGATGCATATGTGTGAGCGCGCATGAACACTGATGCAAACATTCCATGATTTAAGGGATACTAGACTACCCATCATCCCTTAGATAACGTTGAGTGGGGGGGGGTCATCCATAAAAAACATCACGTCTGTCACTTATCGTCACAAAAAACCAGACCCCAATTTAAAAAGACGTCACACCTCAGACGCGTTTGTCTTTTAAAAACACTAATTTCGGCTGAGCATTGGTCTGAAAACACAATCTCTTTATATGCTGATGTCACAAAAACAGGTCAACTCTATTTCACCTGCCCAGTGTCCCCCCAACTTTGAAAACACAGATTTCAGCTGAGCATGAGTCTGACCACGCTATCTCTTCATATGCTGACGTCACAGGGGAACTATACACCTACTCTACTCTACTTCACCTGCCCAGTGTCCGCCCAAGTCTCAGACAGCATGTTTTTATCGTTTAAAAAAAAATATTCTGGCCGAGCACGGCTATGACCACACTGTCCCTTCATATGCTAAGGACACATAAACAAGTGAACTCTACTTCGCCTACCCTGTATTACGCCAAGTTCCGATAGGCAACTTTATCATTCACATCTAAAAAATAATTTTAAAATAAAAATTTGAAGAAAAAAAATCTATCACTGACATGATGTGTCTTGAACCCCTGGCACCAGCATGGGAGCCGAATGCACTAACATCTCTAGCCTCGCAGAATCAAGGACGTAACTACTGATATATTTTACTTTTTTTCTAGATCTATAATTTTTTAATTTATTATAAATTTTTAATTTATTGTATACTAAAAAAAAGAACTGTTGAAAATTTGTAAATAGTGTTGGACCTTAATAATAATAGCAAACGGACGTATCGTCAAAGTTATAGCCGACAGAAAATTAGCTATATAATGCGTTATACTTTTGAATGGGCAAAAAAATCTTGTATGAAAGCCGCCATTATTGTTATAAAAAGTAAATAAATCATGTGACTCACTATAAAGTCATTGTTCTGAACTTTTATAATTAATGTGGTTAAACTACCAATGAATATATCTATAAATTAATTAACGTCTTTAAATTAATTTGTGATTAACAGTTTGTTTAAAAAAGAAAATTGTTCTCTACCTAATTACGTATTGTACAGCTCTACACATAGTGCAGATTCTCTCCTGCTTTAGTATATAAGTAAAGTTTCCCTTTCAAACCTGACGGTCTATGGGGCAAGTGAAGTAGAGTTCACTTGTTTCTGTGACCTCGGCATATGAAGAGATAGTGTGGTCAGCACTATGCCCAGCCGCCTTTACTTTCCCTAACGTGAGTTAGGTACCCATCAGAGTTGGCTTTAGTATATATTATCTTTTAATCTTTTTATTTAATGGGAGTATATTAGTTGTAATAAAAGAATCCAGACTACTAGACAAGCCAGTAACCAGTTTTTTTTGTAATGATAGTAGAGGTCGCTGTTTAGTTATAAAGCTGCCGCTCAACACTACAGAAGCATAATCCAACCTAGATTCAATAAAAGCTTCAGAGCTATTGAAAATGAGCTATGTCTGATACACAAGCCACTCAGAAAACAAATTAAGACAACCCACGTAGCTAATTGAAATCACAAGATTTCACGTTAGTTGTAGACAATTATCAGTTCCGTTCAGACTGGCGTTTCACTCTCTCAACAAAGATACCATCATTTATGTGAACATTGAAACTTTTCTTAGGCGATGTGCATTTATAACGTGGAACGAGGTAGGGGGGGGGGCAAGTTTCTAACTATACTTTTGGACTCAAGCAGAGTTGGGGAATGCGATTTTGAATAATGTAGAAGTCCACAAGTTAAACATCGCTGTTATATATTATGCTTTCTTTGAAGTTTTAACACACACAAAACCCCATTCAGCGCCCATGCAAAGACAGTATGTTCTTTTTAAGTTGCACTGGTTCTGTTGATAGTTTAAAAAAAAATTAGTAATTGCTCATGGTATCTATTTTGTAAATATTAACACCTCTGTGTAAGCGAGCGATAAATGAAGACAGCAGAAGAGATTATAAACCCAATATGGTCAAATAACTAATGGTAATGTTGTCTTCGTGGTGTTTAATTTTCCATTGGGTATTTTTGTTCTACTTGAACTAACAAACACTGGTGCGTAGAGGGGAAAAACACTAAACTACATTGGCTGTATATTAAAGATAGTCAAAGGTTCAAACACGTCCATGAATTATTGGTATTCTTTAAATAGTCTTAAAAAAGCTGCCAATGAAGTTTATTTTAAAATTGTTTTGTACTAAGTAAATTAAAAATAATTGGCTTCTCAGAATTATTATTTAAATAAGACAGAAGACATACTTAAGAATGACATAGCTTCTGTATTTAATTTAATTTTGACGGACTTGCCATACCTAAAGTTTCACAACTTTTGGTTGGCGTAAAATCATTTTTTTAAAATAAGTAAAAGGGCAGTTTTCTTTTTCGGTGGGGTAGCTTGAGGGGTTATTTGCCTGTAACTAGAGTTGAAATATGTTATGTTATGCTGTATATGGCCCCTTTGCTCAACTTGAGCCTTTTTTCTTTCTGGATTTGATTCCATAGCCTTTGTCTATCAAAAACAAAGCAGCATTTGTTTGATTTAGTAGGGTTTTTTTTCTAGCTACCAAGCCTTACATGCACTGGGAATAAAACTTGAGACTTTTTTTATTTAGCAACCGGGCCGTGCAAAACGACAACCCTTTTGTCACCCAACTATTAGGGTTTTTTATTCTACATTTTTTTTAAATATATGAAAAAAGGTATTTTAGTTATGTTTTAAAAAGAGTTAGGATATAATAAAACTTAAGCTAAAGTAGAAAATTGAGTAAAGATTTGACTGTGACTGCATACATGATGTTAGTATTAGCTCCATTCACATACATTCTATCAATTGTAAGATTGGCTTCTCGTCAAACCCTTACTGAACATGGACACTGTGAGATAAAAATACCACTAAAAACAACTTGTAAGACAACACTCAAAGATGATTAAAATCGTATGCTTTCACAAAAGCTCTTGACAATTATCAGTTCAAACCAGACTGTCGTCTCGCTCTCTCGTCCTATTTCATAAAGGAAGTATAAAAACAATGTCAGTTTTTATTTTATATACATCGCATCGTAAAAGATGCAGAATTTATTAATCTGTTTTTATGAACACGTACTAAGATGGTTTTGAGTGATATATTTAATGCAGCATTTATTTTTGTATTGTCATAAAATGTGAAAAGAAAATTTTAAATTAGAACTTTTTATTTTTATTTTTGAAAATGCATTATCCACTTTCGTCATGGCCTTAGGACTTTTATTCAATAAATTATCCCATTTATGGAAAATGATATCGTATACCAAGTTCCATTTCCATCGGTCAAATATTATGCAAATTATGATATGTGTACAAAAATGTACAACGTGTCACAATAGAGTAAAATGTTAGTAACCCCTCAAATGGGATGTTTGTTTTTGTTTTTCGGATGTAAAACATAACATTTACAATAGCTCTCGAACATATTGCAGTCATAACTACAGGGTTACTTTCCTTAGACCGCACATAGTACTCTCGAACAATTGTTTTTATTTATTTTATTTTATTGTATTTAAATTTAAAACTATTATGAAGCATTTTTTATTTAATAAGTAATTTTTTTTTTATCAAGCTGTGGCTAAGCCTCACAGGTGATCTGTCCTTAGTTTTACACAGATGGCTGTTTTAGTTAGGAATTTGTGACAAAATTTTAGTCCACACTTATGAGTAGCCTACAGGTTTTTTTTAAGCGTACGCGCAATAAAAAATTGAGTATGGTTTTTTGATCGTGATTTTTTTTGTGTGTGTGATGGTGTATGTGTCTCAGTTTATAAACTAAGTTCTTAATTTGCATGGCGCATGTAATGTACCTTGACCAACTTAAATAGAATGTAATATTGCCTGTTTAAGTTACCTATACTATGACCCTTTTACGTAATTATGATGTGATATGGCCAGTTTAAATTACCCATACCATGACCCACTTATATACAATGTGATATTGCCTGTTTAAGTTACCCATACTATGAACCGTGTAAACGATTTGAAATTGTCAGTTTTAGTTACCCATACCGTGACCCACTTACATAAATTATGCTTTGATTTGAACATCTTAAATTCCGCGTACGATGACCCATTTACTTAAAACCTGTACTAAGACCAGCGTATATAACTCGCACTATGACGCCTATATGAACTGTGTTGTGATGGTTATAAACGCAAGATTTAACCGTCTGAACCGGCCTGTGAAATAACCTTAAATACAAAATTACAGTTATAGCGTACCAAGTTCACCTTCAAAACGTATACGGTAAAACCACGACCTGATTTATTTATTCTTTTAAACGTATTAGGTACTGCTTAAACGAACGAGATTTTTGGTAACGATTGAGTTGTAGTGCTTAAAGGGTGCGGTTACGGGTTCCCAAACTATGGGACGAGGCACCTATGGAGGTCGATAAGTGTTTTCTGTGAGGGAGGGGGGGGCAACTACGTTGGTTAACTAAAA